TTTTAGAAGACCACCCATATGTTTTGTGCAGAGTTGTCAATCGGGGACCCTCTGTCAATCGGGGACCTTATTGTCCCCTTCTTTACAAGCAGTGTTAGTAGCATACGTTAGGGACCGAGGGTATGCCTTTGATCAAAAGGATATTGCCAGGCAGTGGAAATACAAAAGTGGAACCTTGGGAGGCTTTATGACACTAGGGAACGCTGTTCATGATACAGATGTTCATCTCATGAATATTTACACACCAGAACCTTACAGCAAAATTGCGTATTAATTATAGTCTTTGTACTTTTGTCTCTCCTTTTCAGTGCTAAGGAAGGTCGAATACAATCTAAAAGCTTCTCCTTCTTCCCTCACCATGAACAGTACCGACAAGCCAATGGGGAGTTTGCTGGCTGCCATCTTGCAGGCCAGTGCTTTTGTTAGACAGAGTATGCACAAAGGAGATTTCAAAGTGCAACAAGAGAACTGCACGCCTTGCAAGACAGTCACAATGCAAAGCCTCCATACCTTATTTACCAGGTCAAAAGCTGAGGACCTCGTAAGTAAGTATGTTGAAGGCATGTTGTTGCGATAGCTCTCCCCTGACGCGTCTAAATCTTGAGGCATATTACTTACCAATCTTCACAACCGTCGGTCATTAGGGAACCAGCAGGGTAAAGCTCCCCAGCCAGTAAACATGGGCAACTGCCATTGGTTACACATATCTCTCCATCAAAGTAGGTGCCTAAATTGGGTAAAAACAACAACAAACTAGTGCCTCTGGCAGAGACTGCATGGGAAATGCAATTTCAACGTACTTTCATGAGAAACTCAAAGTGAACTCTCACAAGAAAGGCAATACGCATTTGTCCTGAAGAATTTAAACTTAGTACTAAATCTGGAAGCCAAGTGGACCATTCTCTGCTTTCGTTTCAAGACACAATGGAATCGCTGTTAATGTGATGTCGACATCAACGTGACTGTTTCTAATCCGGTGTGTTTTATTTCTAATAAATTATGATCAGGGGGGGTGTTTCTTAATTTTTTATTTTGTTTGACTTTGCGAGAACAAACCTGGCGGACATTGGCAACCTGGAACGCACTCATTTCCACAATCGTCACGGATGGAAAAATTCTCGCAAGTCCGGGGACATGCTGATCCACATTCCGTGTACACCATTCCGTGGTCGCAGGAGACAGCTGTTACAGAATGCAAGTGACAAAGTACACTTCTGAAATGCATCTTAATCTTGAAATTAATTAAAACCCTCCGATGCACCCACCTGCTATTTTACTGATCATGAACCGGCCTCCGTCAAATTGTGAAGGCCACTTAAAATCATGCCCCTCAGCCCCATAGACTCTTTAATGGCATTTAAATTGCTTTGAGGGTGTCCCTCAGTGTCTGCCAATGCCTACCAATAAAAAAAAGAGAAAAAAGGTCAGAATAAGGTCACAGTACCTTTTTATCCAGTAAAGGGGGGCACCAAGTCAACAAAAATGTGACACCCCCTCACAACATGAAAAAACCCAGACAGCTGTCTAAACAGCTCAGAGACACATCAGAGAGACCGACAATTGATATATGGCAGGCTCTGGCTGGCCAGGGCAGCCTTTGTGTAAAAAAAAATCCCATACGACCACGTGGCAGAGAGATTAGTACGTATTCCCATGGGACTTAGCAAGAGGCTGGCTCTGGTGAAACTGATACCAGCCAAGGGGAAGTCCGTACCTCCAAGGCGACTAAACTAGGTTATTCAGCATCGGGAGAGGTAGGATTAGATGTAAGGTCTTCGCATTTGGCCGTAGAAAAATTAATAAAAAACATTAAAAAATGGCCTTCAGTTGTTGACCGAGGGCGCTCAAATTAAGCTGGGCTTATAAATATTTGTCAGTAAGAGCGCATTTTAAAACAGTCTTGCATGGCCGCTATTGTGTGTTTAAACCGCGCGATACACGGTTTGGCTTAAATTTCTGTTTGCTCCGCAATTTGAACTCCTGAATGATTATCATCTCCTTGTTTGATGACTTTATCAAAAGAAAAATAATAAGACTATTGTCAATTATCAATATATAGATGAATTTACCACAGGTGCCGTTTGGAAGTTTGGATCTCCAATCGACATATAGGCCAACCCTGGAACAGGACACTGAATATTCGGCGTAGACATCACATTGGACTTGCTCGAAGCTTGAAATTTCGATTAGAGCCCTTGACAGAAGGAACAAGCATGAAAGATTGAATGGTTGTACATCGCTCCGGGACCTACATTCCTTGAGAAAAGGCTGATTTGCAAAGTCGTCACAAGCCCTCCGGACTTTCTCCTTGTTGGGCCCGTCGAGGTTGTCAAAGGGGTTCAGCAAGGTTTTGTTTATTTTCCTACAGTAAGTGTCTTGGTTCATATTCAGCTCATTGACAAAGCTCTTGACAGAACGGTTGTGGAGGTCGTTTGTCGGGTCCAAGTCGTAGTTACCGCATAAGCCAAACTTATCAAACTCAGCTGAAAATTCGTGTAGTCTGTTGACTTCAATTATAACGCTGTTTCCACCGTCAAATGAAACCCGGGTTTCTGCATGAAATGAAACGTAACTGACAATGAAAATAAACAAGTGCATGCCAAAGGTGGGTTTTTTTGTTGGGGAGGATTACTTGAGTGTTTTCAACGGCAATAGCGAGGAGGTATAAGATATAATCTCCCAGCATAAAGCATTGACGTCTTTCAGCACTATCTCCTTACCATCGGTTCCTCGACACACCTTGTATACCCCTTCCTGGTAGATCCTAATACCAGATGAAGTCTCAAATGGCACGATCACGCTTCTATCATTGACGTTTACGACTCCATCGGGCAGCAAATCAACAATCGTTGTGGGATCCCTTCGTTAAATTACATAGAAATATAGTTTTGTCACTGGTACAATTATTTTTTAATGATATTACTAGTTTCCTTTCTTTTTGCTTATTAGATCTTAGTTTAGAGTTGTGGTAAAAGATCGCAACATAAACGTCGTCAACACGTAAAACTTATGAAACCTTTGTTCGCCTTCAAATTGAGCCGATAGGTATTTGAATGTAAACTAAGAACTTCAAACCATGGAGGTGGCCATGTTCAAACCATTTGTACCGCATGTAAATGTCTTGCTTGCGGATGTCCACAGAAGCCATTTCACAAACTAGCTTACGTAACAGTCAGTAAATTATGTCAGCCATCGCGTTTAAGCGCAAGAATCAGTCAAATCTGGCTGTTTTGAGAAATTGTCAATGAGTCTTTATCAATCTATAAAGTGACAACAAAACCATAATGGAACAAGAAACAATTAGTTCTTCCTTTCATTACGATTTCTCAAGCTTTCTGCCCCCTTATACTTTTGGCGATCTCGTGGAATGCTACTCTTGACAACAACTATTGTTATTAATCAGGTTATGATGACAGTTCAAGCATGGAAATATAAAACGTTTTAAAAGCTCCGTGGCTCAAGAAGTAGAAGCTATTCAAGCAAAAAAAAAAGTACTCACGATATGCTCACAGCACTCTGGCATTTGCCACTGCTGCAGCTGTAATTGGAAACAAAGTCCACCTTGAACGAGGGCATGCCTGCCATGAAATGCCGACACTGAAGTGGGTAGCTGTAAGCTAGACCATCGAAGGTTCTCACTGAAGAGCCACTAAAGATATGACAGTGCCCTTCAGGGGAAAAACACAACTGAGTGGCTGAGTAGACATAACCAACTGTCTATTGCTTATAACCTCATTACTTAAAGTAGTAATAACATTCCAACATCACTTGAGTTTCTGAAGGTGCCCTACGTTTATTTATAACCTATATAGCCATGGGTGGTGCCCCGCTCCGTAGGACAAAAGGATCCCCTGATTAGCTATTCTGTAAATAATAAATTCTACTTTCTGAATTTAAGCAGTGCCGAGCTCAACGTGATCAGGACACATGTACAGAAATCTGTTTGTGCTACATTTTGCAACTAAACTTCGAAAAAGTAAATTTCCGAAATCACTTTAGTTCAGTAAGTGTATTCTAAGCGGTTAAATGGGGCTTGCACTGAAGAGTTAGATCTTGGGTTCCATGAAGTGGAACATTTGTCACTGTTTCATCTGCGGTTACCCATCAACTATCGAGAAAGTTGCCCACGTGCCAACTACTGAGAAGGTGACCACTACGACATCTACGAGGAATTAACCCCGGTTGTTTGAAATAACTAATGGAATGAAGACAAGATGGCATACCCGCCGTACACATTGAAATCTAGAACAAACTGGAAAACCAGCATTTCGGGGCAATTGGTCATTAGCCAGCCAAGCCATCCCGTGTAGTCCAACCTTAGTATCCTCCAACCACCCTGGAAAATTATTCGGGTGGGGGAGTCGCCGATAGCCTTAACGGGCGGAAAACGTGTGGTAAAACGTGTTGCAGGGGTGGATTTAACTTTTTTTTGTCTGTACAGGATGTAAAAGTCCACGCACCGTGTAGGAGTAGTGTGACGAAACAGGGTAGCTGCGCAGACTTGTGTTTAGTCTGGGTCATTAATAATTCAGGCGCATCTTAATCATGCATTAAACATGTGCGCAGCAACCAATCAGAGGCGCGCATTACCTTAGGTCTGGGCGCTGGCTGCGTGGGTTGCTGGGACTTCTCAAGATGGCAGCGTGCTAACCAGAGCTCTGTGGAGTTGTGTTGTATTCTGGGTTTCGAGAGTAAATCTGACGTACGACCGCTGGTGGTTGGGGATCTACCTCAAGTGTACCTGGTGCGATAGGTTAGTGTGGTGCTTGTTCTCAGTTGCCGGAGCTGCCGATTATATCAGATCTCTTTGAAGATTGGGAATCTTTAGACAGTCTAGTTTATTTAAAAAGCGGTA